TTTGATAAAAACAAACATTTGTATAGTAAGCATACTTTAATAACTTCCCTATTGGTTTAATCTAAAAAATAATTCATCTGAGTGCTGCTATTATTGCCATACACTTAAGAACACAGAGAGGTTATACTGTTAAGAACTGGCAAGATCGGGATTTGATTCCAGAGTAGTTAGGCTGATCCTGCAGCCAATAAACTATGCCTCATGGGTAAATGAGGTCTGCTACTTGTTTTTATAAATAAAGTTTTATTGAAACAGTTTCATTTCTCACAACTTGTCTACAGGTGCTTCTATGCTTCAGTGAAGCAGTAAACATTATGATAGACACTTTGTGGCCTGCAGACATTATTTGATCCTTTACAGGGAAGACTTGCTGAGCCAGAAGTAACCAATCCTTGGGACCTCCTCCCATTCTCACCACTGACCATGGGCCTACAGTAAGAATAGAGACCTGGGTTTGGGAGGGAAGTGAGGAATCATGGCCGCTATAGGAAGTTCTGGGATGTGCAAAGCAGCATAGGGTGTTGCATTGTATTTGCTTCTCAGTAACCTCCCTGCTTCATCTCTGGGCCTACCAGTACAGACCACAAACTCCCCAGGAAGTAGGGCTGTTTGTTCTGGTCACTGCTGGAGCCCTACTTACTGAACAAAAGAAAGGACATGCAATTTAGTTTGTGACGCAGGGACTGTGTGTGCTCTACTCAAAGACAAACATGGACCAGATAAAAAGGCCACAGAGACACTTGTCTCTGTGGATACTCTGATCACAGTCCTGCTTTGTGTTGTCTTTGGGGCAGATGAACTGCCCTGACAGAGCCTGTAGGGGCGAGCATGGGCTTTTCTAGCTATTCTGGGACTTTTCCTTGGCTTCTAACAGCTTCACTCCCAGATGATTCTGTTTGCCAAGATCCTAGAATCAACAGTTAAAATATGAAAAAATTTCCATCTAATTATCTGCTGAATAGTAACAAGGTGGATGGAGCTCTAAGTGCTCATTTTATTTCCTTTTTTTTTTTTTATTAGACCGAGTGACTTTTGATGTCTTAGGGAGGGCCATGAAACCACAGCTTTTTAATTCCTTCTAGAACACAGATGCCTGGGCGGGTTGGGATTCCATAGCTATAATCCCAGGACCGGGGAGGCAGAGACAGGAGGCATATCTTGAGTTTAAGAGCAGTCTAAGCTATATAAAAAGACTTTCTGTTTCCCTCTCAAAAGTCTAAACACCACCAAAACAGAACCAAACTCGGACACAATAACTGACGGATAAGCATGTCTAAGCCTTCACCCACAGGCCACACTGCAGCCTGGGATAGCTGTGAATGAGGCCCAAGGTATTGCAGATTCAGTGTCCTGTCAAAAAGTTGGACCCCACTGTTCTAGATAATAAGGTACCCCTGAGATTTGCTGGCTTCTGAGAGGACTAACGATTGTGCTGGGCTTCAGTGAGTGACAACTCAGCACTAAGCCTGTGTTCAGCCCAAGGGTGCAAAGCGGAAAGAATGCATGGGGACAGGACAGATTGTTGTCAGCTTGTCACCACTAGGTACCGAGGGAAGGACTGCCACTCTCACAGTATAGACCTGAACACAGAACTGTGAACACGGGACTGTGTGACCCCCTAAGGTCAGGCCAGAGGATTCTATTTAAACACAGCCTGGGAGTTGCCACGAAATTCCAGCATCTTTCTGACTCTACCCACTACAGGCTTCTTCCTTGTCTCCTGCTGTAACACTGGCAAAATGCTCAACACATGAACAGACACCGTCTGAGGAAATCCAGGAAATAAAGCCAAAAGATGCTCAAAGGAAATACTAGGACATAGTTCATGCAAGTGTTCTAAGTGTGGGGCTCAGAGGGGTGGCACCTGCCACCCAAACCACTGAGGACATCTCCTCTCCCCTCTGAGGGTGTGTGGCCTTGGCTAGTACTCCACTGTCAAGCCTAGCCCCCCTAGCAGGGACAGACAGCACATTGTCTCTGTCTCTAGAGAAATGCTTTATTTTTGGCCCCAAGCCCTCCAGCCTATGATGTTTACCTAGATCCTTAACTTGGAACTGGTGGCCTTTATAACGAGGAGGCCGTTATAAGCCATTGCTCAGAGAAACAGGAAGTTAGCTCACCGGAAAGCCGTGGAAATGAAGCACCAAAGTGGGTCAGCATTTCTCCATGAATAAGGTGGTTTCAGATTAGAGTGACTTCAAGTGACACACCTGTGGAGCCCCAACAATGTTCCTCTCTCGGTTGTGTCCTAGGCTCATGACCATGAACAATGACCATGAATGACACCCTTGGGGTGTGAGAGGCAGTAAAACACAACAGGTTTCTGCCCTGCCTGGGAGAGCCACCCAGTGTCCTGAAACTCCTTCTGGAAGGATCCATCCATCACAGGAGTGGGTGACATTGGGAAGGGTGTCTAAGGGGTCTTTCTGGGGAGGTAGTCTGGAGTTGTGTCCTAGCCAGGGTAGGGGTGGAGGCAGAGGACCAGGCAAGTGACAGAAGAGAGAAGGGGGAGGGAGAGAGGGCCATGCCCAGCAAACTTTGACTCTCAAGCTTGTATTTGACTTCCTTAAAAATCATAAAGAACCTCATTTTTCCAGTTTTAAACATATTTCTTATCTCTCCTGTAGTTTTTATTTATTTTTTATTTTTGTTAATGTCCAAGTGCTCTGGCTTACATGTACACCTTTATGCCAGAAGAGGGCATCAGATTGCTTTATAGAGGGTGGTGAGCCCCCATGTGGTTGCTAGGAATTGAACTCAGGACCTCTGGAAAAGTGGCCAGTGTTCTTAATCACTGAGCCATCTCACCAGGAGTCACTGGACTCCTGCAGCTTTTAAGGATTTACATTTAAACTTCCTTTAAGTATATGTGTGTCTATTTCTGTGTGCACGTTAACAAATCCCTTGGAGCTGGAGTTACAGGTGGCCTGTCGTGGGTGCTGAGAACTGAACTCTGGTCCTCTGGAAGAATAACAAGTGTTCTTAACCACTGAGCCAATGCTACAGTCCCATCTCCTGACAGGAGAGAGTACAGGCTGTGCCTCACCAGAAAGCTCTTACCTGAGTTGAAAGTACACTTGAAAGTTTGACCTATACAGAACTATAAGTTTTAATTGGCTGTCAACATTAAAAGAAACCAGAACACGTGATATAAAAAGGTGGGACTTTTGGCTTCTCTTGCGGAACAGCAAGTATGGCAGCATGGACTTCCATGTGTGTTTACCAATACCATGTGGCCCTCAGAAACAGGAACTATCACTTTGACTTTCCTATGTTACTGGGGATAGCTCTTAAGGCTTGAGGATGCTAGGCAATTGCTGGACTCCCGAGCCATGTCTCCAGCCATGTCTCCAGCCATGTCTCCAGCCTGGCTGCTACCTTCAGATGGGTTCACACTCAGCCGCTCACCCATCTCCAACACTCCCTGCTCTCACCAACTCGTGCCAGCACTTCGTCTCCATCTTAAGCATCCCTGACTCACTTCAATCACGTACACTCCCAGAAGCCAGGAAACCTGGCAGCCTAGCCCTCAGCATTAGCACTGACATCTACACTCACCGAACGTCATCAGCTTGATGATGGAAATCATTGGAACAATTTTCTGTTTTACACTCTTTGGAATTCAGTCCACCTGATATATGCTTCCTTTTAAAGGGCAATACCATGATCAGGAGAAGTCTGTCTCCCTCTCCCTCTCCTTCTCCCTCTCCTTTTCCTTCTCCCTTTCCCTCTCCCTCTCCTTTCCTTTCTTCCTCTCTCTGTCTCTCTCTGTCTCTCTCTCTGTCTCTCTCTGACTTTTTTCTCTCTCTGTCTCTCTCTTCCTCTCTCTGTCTCTGTCTCTCTGTCTCTCTGTCTTTCTCTCTCTTCCTCTCTCTGTCTCTCTGTCTCTGTCTCTCTGTCTGTCTCTTTCTCTCTCTGTCTCTCTGTCTGTCTCTGTCTCTCTCTCTGTCTCTCTCTCTGTCTGTCTCTCTCTCTGTCTCTCTCTCTGTCTCTGTTTCTCTCTGTCTCTGTTTCTCTCTGTCTCTCTCTGTCTCTCTCTGTCTCTCTCTCTGTCTCTCTCTCTCTATATATATATCTATATCTATGTATCTATGTATCTATGTATCTATCTGTCTATCTATCTATCTATCTATCTATCTATCTATCTATCTGCATATTACTTTAGGAATTCCTGGGATTTCCAGGGAATACTGTATAGTCTGTAGAGAAAAGATTACCAGTTATATAGATCTTGGAGGCTACTAAAGACTGTGATCAAATGGTCAGATGCTAAGTAATTAGAAAGACAGAAAGCATCAGAGATGGTGGCTGGGGTCCTGAGGCAGGGGTTTAGAGAGAATGTTCACTGTGAGCTGAGATAGATGGAAAGTAATAGAGAGAAAGAAGAGGGAAGCAGAGGGAGGAAGAGGAAAGATGAATCTAGGACAGAAGGCAAACACGCAAACCCAGTCAGGAGGAAAACAGAAGGCCGCCTTGCCTAAATGATGTCCGGAGAAAAAATAAAAAGAATTCTAAACAGGAGTGTCTGCTGGAGCTCATCCTACAGAAGAAAATCACTCAGTTTTGCTTTCTATAGGGAAAGCAAAAAATTTTCAATAGGGAAATTTTTTCCCAGATACTGGAGTGGTAGCTAATTATAGGCAAGTTGCTCCTCTTGAAAGTGTGCAGCCCTTCACTGTGAAAGGGGGGTGCACTCTCAACCTTGCCACCACCCCAGTGATATATAAATCATTTTTTTATGTGAAAACCAGCCATGCTCTCACCTCTGTGCTATCTCCAATCTTCAGTCTCCAAAGGACAGAGACACAGAATGCCAACAGCTTGCAAATGAAAGTGGTTACATAGGACATTTGTGTTCTTCAATGATGTAAGCAAGAATTAGCATGAGAATTGCTTTGGGCTTCCCGGTGGTGTCACAAGAATTGGATCCTCCCCAAAGACATGTTTCGTAATGTGGAGGAAAGATAGTTTCCTGCCCTGGGCTCTATGGGGATCCTCACCTCAAACTTCTGCCTGAGTTCCATGTTGCCTTCTTCATCTCCTTCTGGAATGGGCACATTGTAGTATTCGCCCTCTTCTTGGTTGAGCAACTTGTACCTTCAGGGACAGGGGGAGAAGGAAGGGTAAGGGCCAGTCAGTGGCTCTTTTCCTTCAGCCTCTGGTCAGGCTATTGGAAAGATGCCTCTACAGAAACCATAGGCAGAGCCCAGCACCGAATGGGGGTGGGGGTGAGGCTATAGCCAGCCTTGCTTCTCTCAGCTGCCTGGGGTATGACAACATTCTGGGTCCCATGGGCTTCCTTACCATCCACTGGCTGGCATCTTCATCAGCTCTGAGACACCAAAAGAAAGGGACCCCATGAAGTCATTCCGTGTCGTCCGATCCCAGTCCCAGATTTCTACAGACAGTCGCCGGTCTTTGTCTGAAGGTTTTAATTTGCTACAATGACAACGTATACACGATAGATTAAGACATCTCAGTCATGGCATCTTGGGAGACACCAACATGCCCACAGTCTGTGCCTGAAATAGTATCTTCAATTTCCTTCCTGTGCCAACAGGACATCAGCCTTTCCTATTAGCTAGCTGCTACAAAACCTCTGTCTAGATTGAGAATCAGTGAACTCTGACCCCTGACAGCTCACACTTACTATCTAAATAAAAATTTTATTAGAAGACAGCTTTGAAACATAAAAATAAAGTTTTATTAGAGCACGGCCTTGGTTATTTGTTTATATATAGTCTATGGCTGCTCTGGCAACAGAGACTACATGACTCACGATGTCTAAAATACAGACTTTCTGCCTTTACTGAGCAGAGCTCAGTGGCTTCTCTCTGACAGAAAGACATCTTTCCTTCTGGTAATGTTTACAGAGGAAGTGCTTCCTGAGAACGTCCCCATGGGGAACCTCTTGTGCTCCCTGATGTGCGCTGTGCTCCCTGGTGTGCATTGTGCTCCCTGGTGTGTGCTGTGACCCCTTGTATACATTGTGCTCCCTGGTGTGTGCTGCACTCCCTGGTGTGTGCATTGTGTTCCCTGGTATGTGCTGTGCTCCCTGGTGTGTGCATTGTGTTCCCTGGTATGTGCTATGCTCCCTGATGTGTGCATTGTGCTCCCTGGTGTGTGCTGTGCTCCCTGGTGTGTGCTGTGCTCCCTGGTGTATGCTGTGCTCCCTGGTGTGTGCATTGTGATTCCCTGGTATGTGCTGTGCTCCCTGGTGTGTGCATTGTGTTCCCTGGTGTGTGCTGTGCTCCCTGGTGTGTGCATTGTGCTCCCTGGTGTGTGCTGTGCTCCCTGGTGTGTGCATTGTGTTCCTTGGTATGTGCTGTGCTCCCTGGTGTGTACATTGTGCTCCCTGGTGTGTGCTGTGACCCCTTGTATACATTGTGTCCCCTGGTGTGTGCTGCACTCCCTGGTGTGTGCATTGTGTTCCCTGGTATGTGCTGTGCTTCCTGGTGTGTGCATTGTGTTCCCTGGTATGTGCTGTGCTCCCTGGTGTGTGCATTGTGCTTCCTGGTATGTGCATTGTGCTCCCTGGTGTGCGTGCTCCCTGGTGTGTGCATTGTGCTCCCTGGCGTGCGTGATCCCTCACTACTGACTCTTTACTCTTTCTTACTATTCTTCCCCTTCCTTCATCTCTGGTTTGGAATTTCTATTAATCCTCCAAGATGAAGCTCAAATGTCACCTCCTTCTGGAAGTGACATTTTTCCTGCTTAGCGGTGAGTCTATCTTCCTTATTTTTGCAGTAATAATATTTTCTACGTCATGGGTTCCTTATTCCATGCTACAAAGATTCTTATTGCTTCATACCCTCTCCTAGCTCCTAAAAGGACTAAGGAGACAGAACACACCAGAGCACACATCACTTGCTACAGAGCAGGTGATGATAATAACTTGGGGTTTGTATCACATACATTCTGGCAAACCAAGTCACTGCCTATCAAACAGAAGTGATGGCAGCTGTTACCTGACAGTAGCCTGGGGTGGTCTTTGGAATGAGGATGTAAGTAGAGACATTTGCTACGCCCCACCACCCCCTCAATGGGTGGGCAGTATGTGGTATGAGAGGGTAGAGCTTATCCCAGGGCAGGAAGAAGCACTTACAACGTGAAGGACTCGTTCCACTGAGGGTTCAGTGTGGAGCGGATGGTTTTGGTTTTCTGTTTGCTCTCATTCTTGGGGTCAGGAATAAGTTTCAGCTTCACATAAGGATCCGAAAGCCCATTTGGATCCATAGGGATTAGATTTTTTGCATCTCGTACTGTGAAGAGAAAAAGAAAAAGAAATTATAAAAAACAACACTGACTTGATGAGTCAGCACTGGTGTTAGCACCGTGTTGAAGACGGTGATTGTAGCCAGATGGAGTGGCACATGCCCTCAATTCCAGCACTTGGAAGGTGGAGGTACAAGATTACCCTTGGCCACATAACAAGTTCGAGGCCATCTTGGGCTATGTGAGACTCGGTTTCAGTTCTTCTCCTGAAACGAAGATGCTGTCTGAGAGAAGAGATTAATCAGAGGCCCCTGCCACTCAATATGAGGTTGCTCACTACCTTCACTGACAGTCAGTGGGTGTCATGGAGCCCTTGATTCCAGTCTCCAGGCTCAGCATCAGCCTGAACTAACAGCATTAAACACATTCCAGGTCCTAGTAGAAATGCTCAAACCTGGGTCCCACTTCAGACCTACAGAAGCAGGACACACATTTTAAGTGACCTTCTAGCTTTCCAGAGGGAAAGGGGACCCTTGCTCCTTTTTGGCAGCCAGCCGGCCCTGGTCCATGAAGCTGCACATGTGATTCAATGTCTATAAAGCGTTACTATTCTTCATAAAATATGGCAGATCCCAACCCTGGTTGTACCTTGGAATCCCTTGAGAAAGGGGTAAAAAAGCCTCAATACTCACAATTAAATTAGAATGATCAAAGGAAGTGTCCCACCAACTGGTCTTTAAAAGGTCCTGGAACTCACACTACAGATCAGGCTGTCCTTGAACTCACAGAGATCTGCCTGCCTTCGCTTCCCAAACACTGGGATCAAAGACATGCACCACTACCACCCAGCTAGGAACAACTGATATTTCAGGTTGGGATTTAGGATTTCTATTCAATGTACATCAACTGTCACCCAGGAGGTCACTCCCAGGGCAGTGTCTTGTACCTCACCTCAAAATGACAAACTTTGAATCCTCACTTTAACAGGATTCACAGGTGACCCCGGTGCATATTCTGGGCCAAGAGGCAATGACATGGGAATCAACAAATAATTACAAAGAAAAACCACTTCTTTCTCACCAAGGAACAAGCTCTCAGACGCGGCTGATCGTCTAAAGCTGCTGCATCTCAGTGCATGAAGTAATTTTCTATGCTGATGATAGATGAAGGTCCTGCGTCTGAGCCTGCTGCAGTATGTCTCCCTCCCTATCTTCCTGACAAAGTAAATGTCTTATCATCAGAGGCCTTTAACTAGTCGAATACTATTGATATTCATCCATCCCTCCAATCCACTAGGAGGCTCTCTAACCCAGAGGTTCTCATACTATGGCCCCTGGACCATCACTTAGTGAATCAGAATCTCTGGGAGGGGCTGGCAGATGTTCACCAAGCCTTTAGGTGATTCCATGGTATGTAAATGTCAAAAAACAAAACAATTTATAACACCAGGGTTATGGCTTGTAACCCAGATTATCAACATAGATTGATCATGAAGAACTGCAGAAGAAATTTAGAAGTTCCTGGAGCTGGCAGTGGGCAGGACATAGAGGAAGGGTGGAGACATGCTAAAGATGTTGGGTCTTTGGACACAGGTGTGGCAGTGTGTCACTAAAGCAGACGTCAAAGTCAAGCACTGTCCACACTAGCTTGGTGTTCCATGGAGTGCTATTCCTGCTGGCTGACAGCCTTATGTCTTTCTCACCCAGCAGCTGGAGCATGAGCATGTGACTGTGGACCCTGCATTCATATGGTCTGAGCAAAGCGTGGGTCAGGTGAGGTCTGCAAGCCACAGAGAAGCAGAGGCTGTCTTTCCATAGTGCACCTGGGCTCTCCAGAGATTTCTTCTGTAGGATTCTGTTTAATTCCACCCAGCTTGAGGGCTGAGAGCATAGGCTACGTAGGCCAATAGCTCTACTATCAAACTTACCCTTCATGATAGAACTCTGAGCCTTAGGGATAAAGTCCTCAAGCTCATTTGTTTAACTAGAAAAATGAATAGGGCCATAATTCTGGTGAGATAAACTTCCAAGAAAAAGGAAATGGAATAATGTATATAAAGTATGTTATATAGCCAGCAAACTTGTAAAGAAGGGAGATTGCATTGAGTGAATGTTCACTGCATCTCAAATTTTTTTGTTTTTTTTTGTTTTTGTTTTTCTTGACTCAGGATTTCTCTGTGTAGTTAGTTGGCTGTTCTGGAACTCACTCTATAGACCAGACTGCAACTCTTCCTGTGTATCCCTTCAAACTCATGACCACCTGTTCTTTATTTTTACACACACACGCACACACACACACGGGTGTACACATGTCTATATAATATAGCCTATTGAATCCATTTACTTTTGAGTGTATGTTAGGGGCTGACCACTTGGGACTACATTACTTCTCATGGGGCTCTTCAGTAGGGAAGACTGAATGGCTGTCTCTTAGAAGTCATCAACTGTCTGTAGCTCGTCATCTAGGAGTGGAGCCTGTGAGAGTTTACCCATCCACATTGGAATATCAACTGGTATCATCGAGCAGGTCTTGTTTAGGTCTTGTTAACGTTCCACAGGTGCACCTCTCTTTTATCTCTCAAAGCCACCGTCTCACAGCAGACAATGCTCCAGCTCCTCTTCCTCAGTGTTTCCTGAGCCAGGAACAGTATCTTAGACTTGTCTCCAACCAATGAAAACACCTGAATGGAGTCAGAGCTCTTTCAGGTCTCAGCCACTTGAGAAGGCACGTAAGAATCTAGGGTTTAATTACTGCAGTACTAGAGGTCTAATCCCCAGTGACACCAAAATCCAGTATCACGAAAGATAAAAGATGGCAGGTAAGAATGAGATTCTCCTGCAAGCAATGCAAAGGGGCCCCAGGCCTCTCTCAACTCTAAAGGGAGAATCTGAGAATGCTTAGTGTCTGGCACTGGAGGCTACAGAAGGTCATATCTCAGAAGGGAATGAAGAGTCTTATCAGGGCCACGGAGAGTTCCAGGTTTGCCTCCTGCCAGTAACTTCTATGTTTCCCATTCACAGATAGGCAGTGAATGGATTCACTTAAAGCCGGTCTTTTCTGAATGGTGATGAGGTGGGATCTTGATGGGATTTAATACTCTGGTTTCCTGCTGAGATATTATCATCTAAGCTGAAAATAAAAAGAGTTATCAATTCCAAATGCCACTGAAGCAGACAGTCCAAATTTCAATTTCTTATTGTGGTGGAAAAACAGTGTCCTGTTAATCATCGCAGGCAGGACACATGAACTGGGACCAACTTGGGGATCCATCTGCTCAGAATTCAGGATGCCCACGTATGCATTCTGGTTCTGCCCATTTGTGGCTATGGATAAGATATCAAACCCATTTGGTGGGTTAAGGCCCAGGCATTTAGGCTTTTCTAGGTTCCCCAGGTCAGTTTTCAGTGAAGCCATAGTCGGAAGGTTTGATGCCCCCGGCCTTTAGCAGGTGTCCCCAAAGCACAGCCCCACCAGTGGGTGTCCCCAGAGCACAGCCCCACCAGTGGGTGTCCCCAGAGCACTGCTCCACCAGCACTTCTGGCATCACATGCAGACTCTGATCATTACCTATAGTTTTCTTTACATTTCCTCAAGGTATAGGAAGTGGAAAAGCAAGACTTTTGGCTTTAAATAGCTCCCATGAAATAGAGTGCAGTGAAAATCTGTGTGTCCTGTTTCCAGCCAGACACAGTGGCGGTGGGGTGGCCTGCAGTCTCCTGGCTACAAAGAAGAAATTAAGTGTTGGCATGCTAAGTCTGTTCTAGCCTCTCTCTGCATTACACGGGAGATAAAAGGAGATGGAGACAGACGAGCTTCTTCATCATGTAACTTAACACGTTTAACACCAGTTCAGAACCTGCAGAAACCATTTCAAGTGCCACCAACAGTCTGTGTCCCCAGTGGTCCCTCCCACACACAATGAAAACACTGTGGGAAGGAATTTCACTCTGCAGTTGTTAGGGATTAGAATGTTCCACAGCCTGAGTGATAGGTTGTCTTAGCAAATACTCCAGGGCTCCTTTTTTTTGTCTTAACTCTCTACCAGAACCAGATTATTTTGAACCACAGAATTAAAACAGAAAAGTGGCAAATCATGCTACTTTGGTAAATCAGCTATAGAGAATTAAATTTATCATTTCTTTCCTGTATGTACATTGTTGTTTACTTGTTTTTGAGATAGAGTTAGGGTCTCACTATGCAGACCTGACTGATCTAGAGCTCACTACGTTGACTAGGCTGACCTTGAATTTACAGAGATCTGCCCATCTCTGTGTCTTTGAGTGTTAAGATTAAAGGTGTGAACCACTGCCTGGCTCAACTTAAGAAAGTCTAATGGAGAGCTTCAGAGATGGCTTAGCCAGTAAAGGGTCTGCTGTACTAGCACAAAGAACTGAGTTCAATCCCCAACACCCATGGAAAAACTAGGCACGGAAATTATCATAACTGATAGAAGGCTGCTCACAGCCATCTATACTTCTGGCTCTAGGGAGATCTGATTCCTCTGACCTCCATAGGACCTGAATTCACATGTTGACTTCTGACCTCCACAAAAACCATTCTGCCCAAGGCCTGCCATGATAAGTCAGTTCCCAAATGCAGTCCCCATACCTACAGCGTAGACACACCTCTCCTCTGTGCATAACCTGCAGAATCACTAATGTCACACAAATGGGCCCAAAGCCCTGTTGAGGAACCATATTAAAAAAAAAAAACATCTCCTCAAAGCTCATTAACAGTCTTACAGCCATTAAAAGAAGGGTAAATTTGTTGAAGAAACACATTCTGTGCTGTGGTATTCTGGACATTTCAGAACAGAAAGTGTATTCTGTCACTCCAGGACACTAGTAGAAAAGCAAAATATTAATTGTATACTTTTGTCTTTTGAGATGGCTGTTCTGGAATTATAGGCTATCAAGTTCAACATTAAGAAAAACCAGCATGGGACAGAGGTTATATGATTTCTGGATGATGTAAGATATAGTTTCCAGATAAAGAATATTCAAGTAAGTTTTTGAAGACTGAGATGCACCCATGTGAACTACCTGTT